TATTCAAACGTTCATTTGAACTCTCAGCATGAGGTCTGAAGACAGTGGCTGAGCTTTCCAACCAATTCACAACCAACATTGAACCCCAAACTACTGAAGATTTAATAATGTTACACAGGCCTGATTGTACATGATGTTAAAAAAACAAAGCAGAGGCAGGTATTTTCTAACTGTTGGCATTAGACTGTTTGGAAAATAGCCACTTGATTATATTTTTGCACAAAACGAGGACTATGGTTTTTGTTCCCCATCACTTAAATTGAAAGTGCATTAGCAAAGGATCTCTTAATGTCCAGTATGAAGAGAAGGAATGATTAAAGCAAGCAAAACTTGTTTCAGTGTTCAGTAGGATGTCTGTTATTATTGATGACAAACTAGAAAAAGTGTGAACCAATCCTTTAATCCTGAGGTGTAGAGAAACACATGAACATATCAGCTTCCTGGGTCACCTCTGGTTTTTTGGTTTTCTGGTGTTTCACTAACCTGATGAGATCTGCACTGTAATATCTTGTGTCCCTGTAGAGACGAGGAAGCCTAAACACAGAAGTGAAACCAAAGAAGGCAAAGGAGCTCATCATCCTGGCGCAAAGAAAAAGGAGAAACCACCCTCCAGCCAGGTTGGAATAAATAACGCCATAGCAGTCTTCTCTGCCAGCTTCTCACCCAACATAAATTTTCAAATGCTTTCTGCACTTTTTATGGCATGGGTGTGCGTAACATAGAATTAATTATGTGGAATAGTTTATAGGTCGGTAGCCATGAGGGATTGAGGCCAAATCCAGATTGGCCAAGCAGCAACCGCAAAAAGAGTGAAACTGTTTTTGAGATCTTCCTGTCCTTCTGTTTAATAACATGTGAGGTGTGTTAAAACACCCTCGTTTATATCTCTGCACCACTGTTATGCATACAGCACTGACACATCATGGCACACCAGGCTGTTTTGTGTCAACTTAGGAGTTTCAAGCTGCCACCTGCTTGTGACATCCAGAGAGCCTGTGGTGGCCTAAATGGCACAATCATTTAACGCAAATGCTGATAGGGGTTTTAATACGGTGCAGATGGTCCAGAGGGTACTGCTCTCTGTGTAATCTCTGGGCCACATGGCAGAGACTTGTAAACAAGAAATGGACTGTCGGTATGTGTGTCTCTGTGTGTTTGGGGTAGGGAGAGTTTAGAGACCTCATGCCAGCTCACCCGCTGCCCATTCTGACTAATGCCCATCATAGTGAGAAGCAAACAAAACAGAGCTTGCCAGTAGTGGATCAGCAGCAGCTCTCAGCAACTCACAATGTGCTAAAAGGACCAGTGACCCAAATGGGATTTGGCAGAAAATATTGTGTCTCGTCTTTTTATGAACACAAAACACCTCTGTGAGGCAAATCAACAGCAATGCTAATGTCAAGCAAGCAAGTATGGCAAGTATAGGCCTACAATTGACCATTCTCAACATCAGAGTTGAGCATGGTAGCATGGTAACATTCACTAATTATCACTAAAGACAAACTACAGCTGACGCTGATGGGATTTCCATCCAGTAGTTGCGGAGATATTTCAATCTGCACCAAAGTGGTGGACCAACCAACAGACAGAGGTCCGACATTGCCATCCCTAGAGCTATGCTGTTAGCAAGGCTTGAAACTGAGCTGTGCTACATGAAGTGAAAAATAGTAACAATGTAGATATTTAGGAATGAAAGTATTTATATGTGTTGTTTGTTTCCAGAGTGTCCATGCCAACGGCGTTGCGATAGAGTCTAAACCTGCTGTCAAAAGAAGCCAAAAGCCTGGAAAGAAACCAGGTGGAAAGAGCGGGAAAGAGGGGTCAAAGAAAAGTCACAACTACACAGGTGAGATAACGGTACTGTCCCCCTACTTCTGAGTCCTTTGTGACCTCTCTAGCATCTGCATGATCAGTGGCCAAGCTATGACTATACTAGACTACAGTAGCAAAAGAAGCCCAGAAGTGCATAAACTTTCTGTTCTGATAAATTCTGAATTATATTTCTGCATTTAAGTGTTTCAACACTTCCATGGTATCCCTACAGGGGACACATCGATCATGTTTGGCCATCTTCATAGGTCTTTCTACTCTCTTTCCGGTGCTGCTTCGATGTGCAAGGTGGTGTCGCTGACGGTCTCCCATTTCCTGTGCAAAACATTTCGTCACTGTCTTTGTTATCAATCTGTTGTGAAGTAAATGTTAAAAGAGACAAATCATTAATTCTTTGTGTGAATGCAGATAGTTTTGTGGTAGTGTTGTAACATTCAGTGGGGAAAGCATCGGAACTATGAGTCACTCTCTGCTGTAATGAACACTTTTGCTGCAGCAACACCTCAACATGACGCAGCTGTCTGATTCCAGTTAAAACGGGTATCAAGGTATCAACATCCCTGACATTTCGTCACTCTCGAAAGTCAGTTTTCCATTTGTATTTCTTTTTCTCTCTCAGTGCACTCCCCACCATGTGCTTTGAGCCCACCCATGGGACCCCACTACCTGGACGTGCCATATAGGTCAGACAGGAGGCCTTACATAGGGAGGTCCTCCATCCCCCCCGCTCAGGAAAACGAAACCCCGGGCACAGACATTGCCGCCCTCCCTGGTGGAGTGACGCCGACCCACCACCAGCGCTGGAGCAACCCAGGCGACAGCAGTCCTGCCTGGGGGACTATCCAGCACACCTGCCGGAGGCCGCTAACAGAGTATCGTGTGTACTCCCATGACTTTGCCACGTCCCATGGGAAAGAATGGGAAGGAAAACAGCAGCAGGCCGCTGCCCAGGATGACAGCCTGAAAAGGGAACATAAACCTCAGATTCCCCCAAAGGTCCCACGATCTATCACAGATGTGGATCTCTCAGAACCAAATGTAAGTTTCTGCTGGTGGAGATGTGTTTTTCAATCATTAGTTAGTCCTCGAAAAAGATCTGAGTATGCTCTGGGTCATTTTCTGATGGTTAAGTTTTACTGCATCATGCACATTTACATTGTGCAGTGCTTAGTGCAACTGCAGTTGCAGGCTCAGGGAAGATAATGAAGTATCTTACCTGAAGTAACTTTAGTTTTCTTTGCCTTTGTGATGCCCTTTTGATGCACTTGTGCCCAACATGGTGTTACAGTGGGTTTGAATGGGTCTCTTAAGGATTCTGAAAGGCACCACAATATTAAACAGTTTTGGTTTCACAATTTAACCTCCCACTGGGATTCTTTGTGTCAGTTGCTTTTCAATGCAGCAAGTTCAATGGTCACTCAGGGCTGATACCAACCAACAGTGCAGATTGACTTTAAAGGTCAGTGACTTTGCATGCACTTGACATCTCTCAGCATAAGACCTCTGCTGATACCCAATGAGCACGTGCAGAGGGACACAAAGCAGTTGTTAAAGCTTATCAAGACTTGGGAGAAAATAGATGAAAATAGTCTAAAAAAGGATGATCTGGTGTAGAGATTACAAGATCCCTATGGATCTATAGTGTCATTGGTTCTTAGAGATAAAATGTAATTTTCCTGGACATGAAGCCTCTTCTTTTGCCAGAGATTGTGTTGAGGTTAATACCCTCCCTTTGTACTCTCTCTTAAATGGCGTCATATCTTCCCACCATGTCACATCTTTCCACGTCCAATTTGCTCTGCACACAAAACGTACATGAACAGATTTACCTTTTGGCCTTTTACCATATGGTCAATGAAATGTCCCTTGATATTTTTTAATACTATGAGAGTCTTAACATCCCATACTTTTGCAATTTATAATATAATGTACATATGATGCTATATTTTGGAAAATCCCAGATCTTTTCAAATCTAACAAATAATTCTGGCCAAAATTCAGAAGACCATCCCTATTGTAATGTGAATGACATTTTCAGTTACATTACCACCACAGGGATCTACGTCCTGGGCTGCGCGTCTTTTTGGGAATCCTTGACAGAATTACACTCCCTGAAATTACTTTGAAATATCAGGTGACTTTTCAAATGGCAGATACGTCATTTCGAACTCTTCAGATGAACAACTGCCTCTCCAGGGAGCCTCTGAAGTAATAGATTAGAAGCCTTAATCTGGATTGACAGGAGTTTACGGCTGATTGCAAGTAGTGGGATTAGGCAATGGTTTGTCCACAGAATTTCCTTTTCTACAAATGGCCGATCGAAAACCCCTCGCAGTGTAAACTCAGCAGCAAATCCCAACATGGCAACACTAGAGCAATGACTATCAGCAGTGACTAACAGCAATGCTGGATCCTTGTTATTTTGTGATTTTAAACCGTTGTCAAAAACAAAAATATAGAGTAGACACATCTTGGTTTTATGTCCCAGTGTTTCTAAGACTCAAAATGAAATTTATTCACTTCCATATTGAGAGCGGATATGAAGTAGAAAGGGTTTCGACACAGCAAAGTTGCTACTTTCAGCTGTTCCTCTGTCCTACGTCAGCACTTCCTCATAACAACTTACCCCATGTTAAGAAATGAACACACAAGAATAATTACTCCAGCATCATTTACCAGAACCAAGTTCCCCATTGCTATTAAAGGGACATTTTGAAAAATATTTAACTCAGAATGGATTTGAATCAAAGATTTTTACATGTTGTCCTTCTGTTTTATCCATGAAATAAAAACACACACTTTTAATGTAAAGTTTATGGTCATGTAGGATAATTATTTTGTTGGTTAGTTTATGTGGATGTAGCCCTAACCCTGATACATTATGATGCACTATAGTGGTTAGTTTGAGTTATACTTGGTGACATAACAGCCAAACTGAGCAGATCAACCCCAATAATGCAATAGCAGATAATGACTTGTCCTCACCAGAATATCTATCAAATACCACAATTTATAAACCTTAGTATTTCCTGGAAGTGGCTCTCGATGTTTTTATCATGTGGGCCACAAATTGCACACTCAAGCACTTGTATTTTTCCCTTTCAAAGAGGTAGTGCAGTGAGAGAAGAAATGCCAATTGCCTCACATCCTGTGTTGCAAGGAAGTGGGCCAGCCAGTCCATCAGACAGGCAGCCTCAGTGCTGATTAACACTTCACTGTCAGGAGAGTGAGGTAAAAGACAAGAGAAGAGCAAGGACTGAGATTAGACAATAACCTTAAAACAGAAGAAAATGTTGCAGAGGACGGCCTCCAATGTGTCAGACAAAGTAAAGAGCAGCAAGCCGAAGGTAGGTGAAATATGTAGGAGGAAAGACATGATATTTTGTACAGTCACTTCAAAAATGATGTTCTCAGGAAAGAGGAGAGAGACAGCCATGTATTTTTACAAGTTGTAGGTTGCATTTATTTATTTAATTATTTATTTATATGTAGTTGCATTTTAAGTAAAATAAACATTGAAATGTTTAAACTGACGTAAGTTTTTGTCCAAATTTATGCAGTAAACTGTACATTTTCATGAAAGTGACAACAGACAAAAAAATGACAATTCAAACTATACAATAACCTGAGATTAGGGGGAAGAATATAGCTCTAAAATGAAACCCTTCAATGCTGCTGCTGTATTTGCAGCCAGTGGAGTAAAATGTAGGCCTGGCAGACGACGCTGCATTAAATCAGTCCACAGAGAGCCGTCTAGGAGTGTGGAGCTCATATTTAACCAGGATTTCCAGGGATTACTCATTTATATAATTATTTTGGTGCTCTGCTGGGGAGATGATGGAGAGTTGGGAGAGATTATAATGACTTTTAGTTTTATGAAAAATTGAAAAAAAGAGGTAAGAATTAAAATTGAGCCAGAGTAAAGGGACTACGGGTGCATGTAATCAGGACACAACAGTTTTATTTACGTACTGATCTACTCGTTTTGTATAGTGACATTTGCCAGTACGCCTAAATAGAGACACATATATTCTCTATTGCCCCATGAACTTCTACATGATTTAACACATGACCTGACCACAAATCTACCACATATTTTACAAGCTCTCATTTCGAAACACTGTTTCAACACACTGAATATATACCATTGTACACATAGAGCATATAGAATGTATATAAAGTTCAATCATATTTCCTCTGTAGAATCAACTTGAGTCATAGATTGAAAATGTATGTTTTTAAAGATTTTTGAGCCTTGAGACAGATGGGACAAGACCTCACAAGCACAATGGCTTGATGTTATGTAATGCTGTTAAACCTTGCCATACAAACTTTGCCAGTTGTCACCATGACATCGTTGGTCTTTGTCTTTTTAATCCTCCCCACAGCGCTCCACGAGCTTTGGCAGGTTTGAGGGTCTCAGACATCACTCGCCACAATCCAAAGTGGAGGAAAATGTAACCGTTACGGTATGTAGATTTGTTGTCATTTCATTTTTAAATGCATACTGGCAATTATTTTTCATTTGGAGCAAGAATGGTCATTAATGGTTGTTACTGTACCAACCAGCCATGTGAAGTCACTGGATGGAAACATTTCTGTTTAGGATTATATGCATATATACAAATATGCAGCCATGTTGCTGTGAGGTGTTTCGTATTAAATAACACACCAGTGGAAAACAAGGTTCATGCTGGGAAAAACCCGTTCATGTGCAGGATGTGATGCATCTTACTTTATGTTTATGAGGCAGATGTACAAATGACATAAATGTGGAGATGGGAGAAATGTGTGAAGCTTCTAAAGTTGCATTTAATATTGCAGTACAGTACTGTATGTACTAAACTACGTTTCTTTACACAGCTCACAGAAGAAAGTGAGAGTTTGGACCAAAACAAATCAGCTGGACTTGGGAAGAAGATGAAGGCAATTTCACTGACCATGCGCAGAAAAATGGGCAAAAAACACGTCAAGTCTTTTTCTGAAGAGACAGTGAGTCACATGGAAATAGATATACACTCACACAAACACTCATGGCCTCCACTTTTTTATTTATTTATCAGGTACAAGGGGTAAAGCTTAAAATAGAAATTCAAGGGTGCAGATTTCATTTGGAGCAGTCAACACTTTGTGAGCATAAAAAGATCAAACAACCCCATTGACACCTGTCGTGTGCAGTAAAAGTCCAGATTGGCCCACAGCCTCAGTTACAGCAAACCTGCACTGTTTTTCTCAAAAGCCTTAACGCTTTCATCTCTTAGAAACCCACATCCTCAAATATGACGCTGTTGCTGGCTGTATTAAAATGGTAGGCTTCGCTCTGGCCTATACCGAAAAGTGTCTCGTAGCAGTTTGGTGTTACTGTTACACAGATGGAGAGATTAGATGAAACCCTAGAGCATGTTTGCAACTTTCACAAGTTTTTTTTCTTCCTCCCAGGGTGATGACACAGACAAAGACCCAGAGGCAGAGACACAGAGCGGCCCTCCGGCTGAGAAAAACTCTGCAAAGACAAGCAACTCCTTAGAGAGTCTTTACAGTGGCCAGAGCTCCTCTAGTAAGTATCTGCAAATACTACACACACACACACACACACACACACACACACACACACACACACACACACACACACGTAAGGCTGGAGCAAAGGCTTGTTTGAACGCACATAGTAAATAAATGTGTGGGATTTTATAACTAATTCCACATAAAAAGAGTTTGGGACAGTCAGTTGATCCTTGTATACATTAACCAGTGCAATGTAGTTTTATTAGATAACCATAATTGTGTAATCACACTGTGCTGTGTTTGTGGGTTCAGGTGGTGTGACCAGTGAGTCCAATGGTTCTGGTCAGAGAGACAGTCTGAGGCTGGAGGAGGACGGCTCCTATCAGGGACAGTTCTGTGGCAGAGCTCGCGTCCACACAGACTTTGTCCCCAGCCCATATGACACAGATTCCCTCAAACTCAAAGTAAGATACAACGCTGTTTGAGTACAGTGTTCCTATATGTACGACAGTGCATCGTCATGATTTTATACATTCTCTATCATGTCTCCCTAGGTCGGTGACATTATCAACATCATCAGTAAGCCTCCGATGGGCATCTGGACTGGCATGCTAAACAACAAAGTGGGCAACTTCAAGTTCATCTATGTAGACGTCGTGGTGGAGAAAGAGGAAGAAGAGGGATCCCCTAAGATCAGACAACAGAAGCTGTGCAAAAGACCTCGGCCTAAAACATTACTGGAGTTACTGGAGCGACTGAATCTCGAGGTGAGGATGCGATCTACTCACCTGGGAACACTCACTTGTTTTAGTCTGGACGCAAGTCAGTGGGTTTCCTAACGGTTACCATCGTAAGCAGGTCAAGTTAGGCAACTCTACTGTTTGGCATTTCACGTGATGAGTAGGAGCTGTTCTGGTGCTGTAAACGTACTCTAACACTCCAGGGTTGTTGCTTTCATAACTCAACCTCAACCTTTATATAGGTAAAACACCTGTCGTTATTTAATCTCTGTGGTCTCTAATTGAAACCAATGACATCCCAAACACTTTGTACCACACATGGTCTGAACTTTCACGTGCTGTAACGTAGGAGATGAAAGGTGAATGTATTACACCACTGGGGTTTTTGCCCGAGCACGCCCGATGTGCTGATGCTAATGAGGACACCACTGTTGTTGTTTTTGCAGGAGTACGCCTCTGCCTTGCTGCTTAATGGCTACCAGACAGTGGAGGACCTGTTGCTCCTGCAGGAGAAACACCTGATAGAGCTGAACGTCAAAGACCCCGAGCACAGACGCAGGCTCCTCACTGCTGCTGATTACCGCTACACAGGTCAGCAGCACACCGAGCAACTTGTATTATTAACAATTAACAACACTTGATTTTACAGATCACTAATTCCTGCTTTATTGAATAGAGACATGGTCAACAAAAAAACTGAAAAAGTAGAGTTACTAATGACTGGCTTACTGTACACAGTCGTTTTTTTACAGCAGACTTTTTGACTTGGGATAGTAGGTTAAGCTCAAGGGTGTAACTAATAACAGTAGCGATGGCTCTGTTCTATTCAAGTGACAGCGGCCCAGCATCTATAACTGTGTAAGGTACACATGTGGTTTTCCTACTTTGACATGTTGAAATCTCTTCAGCGAGAAGGGTCTGTTACTTACTAACAATTGTCTATTTATAATTTCCCTCTAAATATTGGTTATTTATATTACTAGTTTCCTGGAACCTACAATTAACTGCTAATTAGAACAAGTTTCGGGATGTATACTATGTGACTGCAATGTCCACAGTCACCTGTCTATAGCCTATCTCTAGAGTCAATACTCAATCAAGGCAAAATGCCTGAAAGAAACAAAGTTCCCTTGAACTTTTTGGCACTGAAATGATCACAACTCTGGTGTTATTGCCTTCAGTCATAAACTTTAGTGGAATTCAAACAGCAAGAAAAAAAAGATAAAAATCGTCTTTATTCTGCTAAAACAAAGTACACTCGTTTAGGTTTAGCATTTTTGTCACTCATTACCATTGACTAGGATGGAAATGATTTCCAAATGAATTTCTGCTGGAGGATAAAGAGATTTTTTTATTGTTTAACATGTGAAATAGCAGGTGAAAGCTGAGACATTTGTGCTGCACAGAGTAGAAATACATCCTGCGTGCTGTTGGAGGCTTATCAGTGATTTCCTGTTACTCAGATAGAAAGTGCTTAATGGGGCAGAAGGTGTTCCTGTAATCTGATGTCTTGAAGCAGAAGGCTGATTATCGCAGATCCTGCATGAATGAAAACAAAACTTATTTCCAGTATGGAGGAGGAACAGCATTCTCCGGCTAGTTTCGTTCAGTCTGTTCATGTTTTAATGCAGTTGTGCACAAAGCAAATAAAAGGACATTGTAATTTGTGTGACAGTGTGACTAAACAGACGGCAGCAGCCACAATGTGACCCTGCCAAGCTTGTTGACTCACATGAGATGCCAGTAATTTAATCAAGCTGAACTCCATTAGGTTAGTGGTTTGGCAACCTGGACATAAGGATTAGTAGCTTTCATCAGCAAAGTAGACATATTAAAGAATGGTAGGATATATTTTGACTTTGTGAGAAATAAAAGTCAAAGAGGACATTCTGAGGTGTTATTTCTAAAAGAAATGCCAAAGAGCAGCAGCCTTACGTATTTAAATATGGGTTAATTTCCACTGATTGAAGCGCTTGCCACAGATTTAAACATCTCTATGGTTGGAAACAGAAACTTGTAATATTATGACATTTAATTTGATTCCATTTGGTTTATGGCCGCAGGTGATGATGTCAGGGATGGGACGGATGAGCACAGATCCTCCCACAGCCTACAGGAAGAAGACAGTGACTGTCCCAGAGACTCGGGCTGCTTCATCCCATCTGAATGTTCAGACAGCAAGGAGGATGCAGAGCAGCTCACAGACGCGGCTGACTCTTAATGTGATCACTTGTCACATGGATGCTTTGACATTTGGGATTTGAAGTTGGGTATTTACTTATGACTGATGGTCTCAACAATCATCCCATCATTTTCTCAAAATGTCATGTTAATATCCCGTATACCAATGAGCTAAGCCTCAACCTTGCCGAATGTAGAAGCTTTTCAAAAGTGTTATGTGTACAGGAAGAACAAACAACCAAAATTCTAAATGTCGTCTTATCCATTTGTCACTTTATTAAGATAATAATCAAGATGTAAGAGGGTTTTTTTATGTTGTTGAAAAATTGACATTTCATGATTAAATATCATTTGTATTTATTGCATTCTGAATCATTCAGTGTTTTTCGATATAAAGCCTTTATTTATCAAATCTGCAAATCTTTCTGTTGTTTCCCAATCTCATTTCAACATCCTGTGTAATCCCCCCCCACCCCCACCCCCTCAAAAAAGGGGTGCTTTTGAAATGTAGTGTCTGGGTTCTAACAATGCGTATTAAAATCTTGCCTATACTGTGTACAGGAAAACATGTATCTTATATTCTGAATGTGTGTGTGTGTGTGTGTGTGTGTGTGTGAGAGAGAGAGATAAAGAGAGCCTGCATGTGAACTCATATGAAAGTCAGCATTTGACTGTTTTCAGAACTTTTTGTAAATAAAATCAAAGAAATACAATCAAATATGCTTTTTGTTGTCTGTCAGAATGATTAATTTCACTTACCAGTTCAATGCATGATACATGAGGGCCAGATGCCTATAGCCATGAACTAAATAGAGCATAGAAGTAAAAAGAAAACTTAATAATAATAATAATAATAATAATAATAATACGTTATGATTTTTTATTTTACTTACGAACTGCTTTCATTTTAATTGCATTTATTATTAAATTATAAAATACTTTATTATAACATTTTATCTAAACATGTTTTTTTTTTTGGTCTCTTCCTTAATCCTGGCTCTGCCTGGTTGGTTGAGAACACAGATACGTCACGAAACATTCGTTTTACGCTGCATGTCGCTAGCACTGATGGGAAGTGTAGTGTAGTGTCGTACAACGCTAACATCCGTTGCTCTACCCGTGGCGTCGATGGTGTATGCTGTTTACTACATTACCCAGCATCCACAAGGAGCCGGGTAACGTTGACGTGTATTTTGTTGGTGGTCTGAAAACTTCCTATTTCGGGTCACCCAGTTGTCAAAGCTGGACATTTTTTAACGGACACCAGAACGATTATACCGACATTTTGTGAAATTTAAGCGGCGGTTGACTTCGCAACGGTGTGTGACGATGTCCGGAGAAATGTCTATGATTGGTGAGTTGAATGACATCTTATTTCCCCCTGAAATTAACCGGTGACTGGATGCTAACACATGAGCTAACTGCTCTGGTCCACCTGTAATACGCATGTTCTTACTATGGTTCTTACCTGTCCACAGGTTCGGTGATCCTGGCCCTGTTCCTGGCTGGTTACCTGGGCCAGCAGTACTTACCGCCCCCAAAACCGAAAGTGATCGGCCTGGACCTGGGCACCACATTCTGCTCTGTCGGCGTCTTCCACCCGGGCAGCGGGGATGTGGAGGTGATCGCGGATGAAGACGGGAGGAAGAGCATCCCTAGCGCCGTCTCATTCACCACCGCTGCGGTGCTAGCTGGACATGAAGCCGTGGACCTGGCCGACAGCAACCCCCAAAACACCATCTACGATGCCAAGAGGTTCATCGGGAAGATATTCGATCCCGAGGTCCTGGAGCAGGAGAGTGCTCGGTATCCGTTCAAGGTGGGCCACGCAGGGGTTGGTTTAGCCGACGGGTTTCTGTGGTGGATCACTTTTGTCTCCTTATGTAGCAGACAGGTTTACCCATCAGCTGTTGGTGTTTTACTTTTACCTAATTCTTTTTTTAGGGGAAACTTTGGAATGACCAGTCCTGCATTTGTAGTTTCTCACATGCGGAAAAAGTAAATTTCCCCAAAATTTAAGTCAAAAAGTTAAACTTTTATAGATTCTAGATTAATTACAAATAAAGTGAAATATTTTTTGTTTTAATCTTGATGATTACGACTTACAGCTCATGGAAATCAAAAATCCATATCTCAAAATATTAGCATAAAAAATTAATAATACAGAAATGTGGACCTGAGAAGAGCCTTTAACCTCTCAGTCTGGTTCACTAAACACAACCACTATCATGGGAAAGACTTCTGACTTGACACCTGTCCAAAAATGAACATCTTCACGTTATTCAAATTTTCTGAGATGCAGCTGTAAGTAAAAGCATTCCCTGTAAAGTGGCTTATATTAGAGTCATGTGCCATGTCTCTATCCTCGCTTATACGGTTTCCTTGCCCCTCTTGCAGGTGATTTACAATAATGGAAGTGCAGAGTTTCAGATCTCCACCAACCATACCTTCACTGTAAGCCCAGAGTTCATCAGCTCCAGGCTGCTGCTGAAGATGAGGAAGATGGCTGAGCGACAGCTGGGTGTGCCCATCCAGAAAGCTGTCATCTCAGTGCCGGCAGAGTTTGACGAGAGACAGAGGAACTACACTGTCAGGGCTGCCAACCTTGCTGGTAAGCTGTCTCGTTGTTGTAAGCTGATGTTGGATCTCCAAGTGGGTCAGTTGACGAAGCTGTACGTCAGGCAGCTGAGTTTTAAAAACTCCCTGTGATGTTTGTTGCATGTCATCTCCCATCATCCTCTTTTGACACATAATTACATTTGTGCAGAGCTAATATAATAATTTCACATTTCTTATTTTCAAAATAATTAATGGATAATGTAGGATTTAAAAACATAAATGCAATGCTAATTATTCAATTAGCCATAACTGCTGTCAGAAATATAATTTACTTTTCTGTAACCGTAAAGTTATCAGCTAATATAGTATTGTTCTTTTTATGGATTTGCCTCTACTTACTCTACTTCTTCCTCTATTTTATTTTACTCTATCATCCAGCCAACACTAATGTTTTCAGACACAGCCTGCTACTGGCATACTTGGATATATTCCAGGTTAGAGCCAAAACAGTGTTTCATCAAGGATCAAGGATATCTCTATTGTCCCCAAGGGGCAATTTATTGTACAGTCAGAAGTCAACACACAAGGTCACCAGAAACATTAGACAAGCGCTGTATTAGAAATATATCTGTGTTTCCCACATATAGACTTTACTTGGGCGGGCCGCCCAGGTATATTAACGCCTGCCAAAGCATATTTGGCGACCCATTTTAGCATTTGGCAGCGAAACGCAGCGCGAGATGTTATCTGGTATTATGTTACAATATGTGGTGGATATTTTTACAAGCACGGAGCAGGTAAAGCAACAGTGAACACACATGTGCAGACGTCATTTGGTACCATGTTGGTGTTTGATCATTTTCATAGGTTATGCCTTCGACAAGCCTCCTCCACACGCGGCACACTAGTGCTGTGAAAAACGAATTGTGGGTGAAAAGATCCAAAAGACGAGTTCTGTGTCTTTTCAGTGACTTTAAAAAAAAACACATTGCAGCTGCAGAAAGAAAGAAAGACATGCAGGGAGAAAGAGGCAGAACAGAACACTAGGTCTGGCAAATAGTCTACATTCTTTCCCTTGTGTTGCAGGCCTGGAGATCCTGCGTGTGATCAATGAGCCCACGGCTGCAGCCATGGCCTATGGCCTGCACAAGGTGGATGTGTTCAACGTGTTGGTGGTCGACCTCGGGGGAGGCACCCTGGATGTTTCTCTGCTCAACAAACAGGGAGGCATGTTCCTCACCAGGGCCATGGCAGGTAATGTCTTTCACTGCATCAGTAATATAATCTACAGTTGTAGGTGATATGAGCCCACTGAAAAGGGAGCTTTACCTTTTGTCCCTTAGACTTAAAATATCATTTTATTCTGTGCTCTCAGTTGAAAGTAATATGGGGTCAGAACTTTCACCTGGATTCACCCCTTCAGAGCGGGTGTCGAATATCTGCTCAGACAATAATCTGGTTTCATTTTAGCATCTTTAATCTGACACTTCTCAAAGCAGCATTTGTGTAAATTAGAAGATGACAGTGACTTAATCTTAAATGGACGGTGTTTTTTTGGCAGGGAATAACCAGCTGGGAGGTCAAGACTTCAGCCAGAGGTTGCTCCAGTACACCACAGAGCGAGTCCGACAGGAGTTTGGCATCCCACCAACTCTTAAAGAGGACATCCACCGTCTTCGACAGGCCGTGGAAGCCGCCAAGCTCAATCTCACCCTCCAACCCAGTGTCACCCTCAGGGTACCCCTGCACCTTCACACCCACGACAGCTCTGAGTCACCCGAAGGCTCTGCTCCGGTTCTCTTCCAGGTTGTGATCACTCGCGAGCTGTTCGAGGAGCTCAACGACGACCTTTTCCAGAAGATCCTGGCTCCCGTTGAGACCGTGTTGGCTGAGGGCCACCTGGAGAAAGAGGACGTGGATGAGATCGTTCTGGTCGGGGGGTCCACCAGGATACCACGCATCAGGAGGCTGATCAGCGAGTACTTTGGGAAGGAGCCCAACACATCTGTAGACCCTGACCTGGCTGTGGTTACAGGCGTGGCCATTCAGGCTGGCATCATGGGTGGCTCCTGGCCTTTACAAGTGAGCGCTATAGAAATCCCAAACAGACACCTTCGCAAGACGAACTTCAGCTAAAGGGCCACAGAGACTTGTCTGATTTATGTGCATAATATAAAATCTGCAGAAGTGAGAAAAAGACCAACAAATACACTGTCACCTGAATGAAGACAGGCGAGACGCTCACTCAGGTTCTCCAACTCATTTCATGCTTTCTTGTTTGTGACAGGTGGCGGTAGCAGAAAAATAAGTAACTGATAACATCTGCAGAAATGAACTGTCCTGTGTCCGTTCTTTAAAGTCACAGCTGCTTTTGTTGTGCACGAAGCGTCAGCAGAAATAACAGCGTGAGTTACAGATGAGATGTGAACGAGGATCTACTGATCCATTCAGCCTCACTGATGATGCTTATTCGTGGTAGATACTTTAACGGTGTTCAATTCAGGGAACAACTTTTTAAGGACTTAAAGATTAACCAGTACATCTTCGGCTATTTATTTATTTATTCCCACCAACTGTGTGTGTGTGTGTGTGTGTGTGTGTGTGTTTGTTTTTTGTAGGCCTTTTTAATGTAATTTTGTTTTTACATCTTTTCATTGAAGGTTGACACACAGTGTGCTTGTGCCTGTTCAGAGAGCTGCTATATTGTTTGAAGTGTTGAGGTGAACCTCTGGAGTTGTGGGGGACAGAGGGACACCTCAGTGTAAAGACACAGTTATGCACAATTCATAAAAGAAATTGCAGTGCAATATGGACTACTCACCTCATAAATAAGGAGCCCTGGTGAGGTGCGGAGCCCCCAGCTAATAGATGAAAGTGCATGCGGGAGAAAGCCTTAATGTTTACACAGTGCTGTAAACGCACCACCCTTCCCTCTGAATAAAAGCCTGCATTATTTGCTTCGGAGAGTGAAAGAGAGAGGAGTCATGCTAAATGCTGCACTTTGAGGACGTCCAGTCGTCGGCTAACTTTACTTTTTTGTGCATTTGCGCATGCTTTATTTAAAAGGCAATAACTTACGCTGACTTCCACACTTCAGATATTTGTGCTGTTTATCAGAGTTAAGAGTAAAAATCCTGCTTTTGCTGCTGTAGGTAGAGGAGGTTGACTCTGGTAGTCCCACAGGAGGACCAAAGCATTGCTTACTGGTGCCTTGTGTATTTGATCTTGTTACGGTCACATATCAGATGTTTGATGGACCTGAGACATGGTTTGTGGTCATCAGGGTGCCTCATTATTTGTTTAATGTAGTATGAAGAAAATGTGTTTCAATGGTTCTTATTCTGGTGGACAGTAGGCTGGTTATTGTATATCCAGTCTGAAAGTTAATTTCCATTCCAAAGTTCTGTCTTTGGAAAACCCAGATCTCTGTAGTACAGAACTCAAGTTACCTACATTCCCTTGGGAAGTATAACTTACTTTTGCCTAATGTCATTCATGAGTACTTGTATTGTGTTTTTCTCCAAATGTTTCTCTGGAACTGCGATCTTGATGAAACAGAGCCTTTAGTAATTAATTTGCCTTTGATGCTGTACAAATCATGTATTGGTCCCTGTTGAAATAGGGAGGAAAAATAAACTGAGATTAGGATCTATTTTTATATCACGTTTTACCCATTGTCAAGAGTCTAGCCACCTAAAAAAGTCTAACAGTTATGACCTGCTCTTCAGCCAATTAAAATTCAATTTCTCAACTTCTTTACAGTCTTTTTATTTTGAGAAAAAGTCAAACTCACTTCATGCATTCCTGGGAAACCTGCACAAAGAACTCCACGTACTCCTCACACGTTCTATCAAGATCCTCCAGGTGCTGGAATGATGCTGCTCATGAGAACGTGTTTGGGCACCATTTTTATTTAATCTCAAATTATTTTTCCCCCAAAGTGTGTCTTCAAAAAGAGAGGTTTATGAAAACAAGAAATACACAGAACAAAACACTAGAGAACTCCTGTATTAGAAGGTGTTTAATGTTTACTTCTGAGGCACAGTAATACTCAAAGAAAACAAACACAAAAGGCAATCAATCTCTTGACCCTGTGCAGCCTGTTGTGATCCCTGGAGCGTCCTTTCAATTAGCTTAGAGCTTTATTTTCACATTTAGCACCCACTTCATTTACGTTACAGCATTCAGTTTTACACTAGCAACCAACATTGTGTATGTGAACACTAAAATACCGCAGACTTAACTGCAAAGTCACTTCCATCATGGAACAGACTATTGCTATTGTAATGATTAAACTGTTCATCACGGTTACATTGTTCCACTATAAATTCTTGGTTGGCTGAAGCATCTCACACATCGGTTAACCTTTTATGTACAATAAAACACAACATAGCACTGCACACAGGGTAACATATGTACCCAGCCAGAATACACACAAATACACATCTTTAAAAAAAAAAAAAAAAAAAAAAAAAATTCTAAAAACACATTCACATTAATTAAAAGACAGCCCAAATGTTCACACCCAAACCATTTTCACCAGTTCTTCTGGTCACACACACACACACACACACGTTGACATGATCTTTACAGCCATATGCACTGGTCAAAAGTAGGGAGGCGGGGGGCATTCAGCCTCTATCAAAATAATTATCTTACAATACACCATGTGAATATTTCACTTGGAGGAGAAGGCAGGACTCCTGTAAACAGCTTGTTTGTGGTTTTCCTCTTTAAATATAAATATTAGTACTATTATGAACAACAGCACAGTGGAGTGCCGACAGAAGGCGGGAGCATAACGAGCGGTTAGCGTTTTAGTCTCATACTGCAATAATGCCTTGTTAAACAGAAATCCATCTGCTAAGAGAAGAATATTATGTACAGTGGTTTAAAAACAAGGAACTGCTTTGGGAAATTAGTGTATAATATTAACGAATCTGGAAACACATTTAAAAACTAAAAATAAAAAAGAAGAAGCAGGCATTGGTAACTCAGAGGGGCCTCTCTGACATTTAGATGTGAGAAAGGAGGCCCCAGATTTGGCAAATTCCATTAATAAAAAGTGCGTGTAGTCCCGTGTGATATACAATATGTCTGACAGGCAAAAAAAGAGAAAATAACCACAACTATTCACAGAATGTACACAAAGCAACTGGGTGGTTTGTTTTCTCCATCACATACAGCAGTCTGTCAGTTAATCAGCACGACAGAGGAGGATAGACTTCACACTGACTAAACACAAAAAAAGCGATGTGAACACTGAGTGTTGTCCTCTCCGTCTCGCTACAGCAGATTCACACAGTCCCGATCACTGGCTAACGCCCCGATTGGTGTAGTAGTCGTAGCCATTGTCTGCATACAGCTCCTCAGTGCCGTCAACTCCATTCCCCACCTCTGGAGGGCGCCAAAGGATAAAGAAACAGTCAGTGTGCTGTTTGACCGCATTGTCCCTTTAAAATAAACACTCAGCTTTATTCAAAAAGATGAAAAAAAAATATAAACAAAAAGGGAGATATTAAGTGCACTTTTTAAATGAAAAACATAATGAATAACCTCAAACAGCTGGCACTGATATGACTTACCTTTGACCCCCCAGCACTAGAGGATGTCTAGACAGACTGGGGCATCTATAAGCTCCCCTAAACATGACGTGGTCTCCAGTGGGAGGGTTATGGAGGAGAGGTTTGGTACATGAAGGGATGGATGGATGGATGAGGGGGAGAAGGGCATAGTAGGTAGAGAAGTGGCAGGTAACGAGGGATGCAATGGATGCATGGAATAAAAGGAGGAAGTCACACTGGTGGTAGCATGGACAGGAGGTGGTGCACGTCACACAGGCTGCTACTGGGGTTGACCTTCAACAGGGAAGAGAGGAAGAGGAGGAGCGAGAACATTCACAGACACTAAGAGAGATGCATGCTGGGATGGAGTGACATGCTAGCTGGGCACCTGGAACCCAAAATGGCTCATTCCTCATCATCAAGTTAAAAAAATAAATATAAAGTAGGAGAAATGGTGAATCTTTTTGTAAAATCAATACAAAGAGAGGAATTTGTTTCTGAGTTCAGGAGCCCAAACAACAAACACACACTACAAAACATCCAGGAGAGACAGACATCCAACATGTCCCCCTCGTCTCAGTGTGAGGGTCTTACCAGAGAAGATGAGTTTCTCCTTCATGACGTTGATGTCTCTGCTGGACCTCCTGACTGCGGCGCTCAGCATGATCTGTTCAGGGTTGTAGCTGCGCATCCCGCTCATCCGATACCTGCGGGGGCACACGTTAGGTCAGAGATCATCTCGGGACAGTGGTGATGTCACTAAATACTGCTGCCTCTGCTCTCATTATGCAGTTCAGGGTCACGTTTTGCTCCATACAGCATTAACTTTTAAATCTTTAGAAAGAAGTATGGAGTTAGTGTACGTGCCCCGCACTGATTCATGGGAAACAAATCTGTTTAATTGCAGTGCTTCTTTGAGCAAACAGATTCCTAATTTGTGGCTACGGTTTGTTTGATCTGGTGACTCAGTTTAAAGGCGACTTTACTCTCAAAATCAAAATGACGTTGGAGCTTATAAATGCAGTATATTGGGCTCAGTTTAGGCTAGCACGAGACAACACAGTTGCTTCTCATCATGTGAAAGTGTGTCGTCTTTAGATCCATAATATAGTGGAAGCAGCTTATAGTGATGACAAACGGTGTTAATTTTGGGTGTTTTCATACATAACATATGGATCGTGTTGCTACTGCAAGTGGCCATATGTTTAGGCTGTCTTCTAGCTTATTTGTAGGAGGTTTGGGACTGCCCAGACCATAACAACAGTCCTTATATGCTTTGCAAACGTTAAGTGGTGTGTGTGTGTGTTTTCCCTCTGCTGTACTCGCATCACCGTGGGTCAGCAAGTTATTTTGCCCTCGCGTTCCTGCTCTGCTCCCTCATAATTATCGGCCCTGCTCTCACACAGCAGCAGGTACGTTACGTGAGTGGAGTGTACTTTCACCCTGACCTCTCAGACATGGCTTGGAGCATGAGAGGGCCAGGTTTAAAAATCAGTAAAGTGAAGCAGTCTGTTTCATTACTTTATATTTGTGTATAAAAAAAAAAAAAATCACACTAGTAATCAATTTGACCTATACAGATGTGATCACTGTAAGCGGTTTCCACTGTAGTCTACACAGAGTTTTAAGATGAGCACTAAAATATGGGTACCACTTTCTAATCAGGGACCCTTTAACTACAACTTTATTCTTAGTTAATAAATCATTTAATAATACTTATATTTATAAGTCATTGTTAGCAAAGACATCTTCTTTTGCCTGGTTGTGAATAATCCCAGTGGCTGTTTGTCCTTTGTATTTGGTAAGAAGGTAGTTATACATGTTGGCAATCCATGAAAAAATGCTTTAACATGCGTTTTTAAATGGATTTTGGTTCTGCAGCCCTTTTCCAGAAGGTAAGTGGTCATATGGTCCAATCAAAAGGATTTTTCCACAACCTGGCAACCTTAAAGTTGTTTAAATCTAATCTATCTATCTATGAAGCATTACTAAATAACCATTAACATTAATAAGGCTATTGGTTATAACTTAAACATTTTATACATAGTGCCTTATTAGCAAGCAAAATATGTCATAATCAGTGCTGCAAATAACACTTTATTTTCAATAGAACTAATAGAATAAAATCATTTTAAAAAATACCTACTGAAAATACCTTCTGAACGAAAAATTTCTGAAATATAATTAAGACTGTGGTTATCTAATCAACTTTTGTTAGTAGCAGAGAGGATGACTCCCTAGCTTTAGCTTCGTATAATCAGTCAAGGCAGAGGAATTCTTTTCCTGCTCATGAAAATGGCGTCCTAGCTTTAATGAAAACAGCCTTAATCTCAATTAACTTAGCTGAAGAGCATTAGTCAAGATGAACTGCGACAAGGCATTTAGAAACAGAAATGCAAACAAGCGAGCCTTCAGTCCATCAGAGTCAATAAAAGCCAATCCCGAGGCTCTTCTCCTGATGAATGCAAATCCGTAGTTCATTTTGGACGTTTTAGTGACTTGGCTTAATCAGATGGATAATAAATGTTAAATCTCATTGGTGACTTAATGCTGTTTATATATTTTGTACTGTGCGGGTGGAAAGCATTCATTTGATTTAGCCCACAGGGATAAAGACGTGAACTCCTCCCTCAGAGAGGAAAGTGGCAGCAGTGCAGTACAACGATTCAGGTGAGAGAGAGAAGTGAGAGAGAAAAGAAATGTAGAAAGACAGTGGACGTAAGTTGGAGAGAAAAATTGGATGGAGTTTGTTATAATAAGGAGAGCAACAAAAAAACCCCAGAAAGAATGGATAAAAGAGATGGAGAGAAAGCAAAAGAATGAATCGAACAAAAGAAGGATGGATAAAGATAGTGACAGACAGAAAGAGGGTGAAAGGAGAGAAGACTTTGGGTCAGAAGAGGTGACCCAGTTACCTGATCATGTGATAGCTTGAGAGAAGATGCCAGAATGCAGCAGAGGAGGAGAAGAGCATGCACATCAGGCAGAGGAGAGAGGACGAGGAAGAGGCAGAAGGACAAAAAAGGACAAAAAGGAGGCGGGAGACAAGAGAGGTCAGTTTAGAAGCCAGCAGAAGCTACTGAAGAGCTCGGCTAAGCAGAGAAACCCTGCACCGGACCGTACAGAAGAAAAATAAAATAGGTAAGAAAAATAGATCACTGCCCTCCATCACAGAGGCAACAGGAGGACAGGCCATCTGTCCCTGGAGCTGTCACAAAACCACACTCCACCAGTGGAACAGAAATCCAGAGGGGAGTGTGAAGGGTTTACAGCAAAGAGAAGATAAAACTACATCTTCTCTGCCACCACTCAGGTGCCGGGTGGTGGGGGGAGAACAGCACAAATACATCATAGCAGCGTACAAAACCACATAAGTGTTCTTAATTAATAATTGTGTTCTTTCCAGCCTTTCCTTTGAAGGTCATTATTGGCACAATCATTGAAAAAAAATTAAACAAAAAGGAAGAGCATAAATATGTATGAGCAGTTATTTTAATGATGTGTTCCAGACAGATGTCTCCTGAGTGAAAGGGTGTCACGTCGAATGAGAGATGTAAGTGAAGGGTGCTGGTTAATGAGCAGTTATTAATGATATGTACTCATGTGTGTTTGCGGGTGGAAGAGAACAGGAGAGAATAAACAACAACAACAAAAGAACAGTGTTTACTTCCCCCCCCTCATACACCAGCAGATCAACTGAGAAGCATTAACTCACTATAATGACTGACTGCAGGTTTAACACAGTGTCTGTACTTACTTCTGGAAAATGAATATTCCTATAACTACTGCAAAGGAGATGAGATCTGCGGACACCCACATCAGGCAGTATTTATCTGGACTCTGGAAACACAAACACACACATGGTAAATCTGGGTTTAATCCCTCAACAAGCTTGTGAAAAGATCCACCAGTGGGTGGATCTACATGTCAACAACACAATGTCTTATGTGAGCAGTTAGATTTTTTTTTAAATTATAACAACCTCTATAAATAAAATGTACTGCCATATGAGGAATACCTGAAAAAAACAAAAACAAAAAACCCAACTGATGTTCAGAGGATAAATATTCACTTCCATTTGCCTTAACAGGCAGAGGCAGATTTCACTTTGATTCACAGTTCAAACTAACAGACGGTACTGCAGATGCCCCGGCAGCCTTAACTCTCCCTGATCCACAGCCGGGGGGGGGGGGGGGGGGGGTACACATGTTGTCATGCAGACTTCCCGTATGGTGGCACAGACCAGGCCGGCAAGCTGCATAGGCAAGGGGGTGGTGAAACGATACCAGAGTGCCACAGTGTGGGTGCTACCCATGTTGAGAGGTTTCAGGAGCAGACTGAACTAGAAAAGCATGAGTCATACACTACAGGACACACTACAGCGATGACGCTCGTCTTTTCTACTGTGCTGGGACCCTCGGATGAGTGTTGAAAGGATAGCATGCTCAGTTCAGTTGGTAGCTAGTGTCTTGTTGATATCACCTGTTAAAATCTTGTTTAGGTGTGCAGAGGAGATGCAGGCTGAAGGAGAGGACACAGGTCGTCATCTAATACCATATACACTGATTCAACATAAAGCCACTTTATGAACCTTTTACATTTGCTTCTAAAAAGCTGTTACCAAGCAGATCTTTTCCGGGCTGGTAGGTACAGGGAGCACATAGAGACTATGGCTGAACAGGAAAGGGAAAAACAAAAAACAAAGCTGAACTTTATTTACAAAGAAAACCAGAAACAAACAAAAAATACATTTTGCAAACGACAGAGCTCGATTGCGGGTTGTAGAAGAAAACTCTGTACAGTATGTCATGGGTCCTTACCATAAGCCAGATGGGGTAAGGCACCTTATTAAGGATATGTGGGGCCTCTGAAGAGACTGAAGACACCCCGCTGCACCAGAGCACCGAGAACAACCAGGGCTCGTTGATGTTGTAAAGTGTGAGGTTGATGTTGCTCTCGGAGAAGTCTCTGAAAGCAATCGCACACATTCAGGGACGCCTTTGAATATAAATCCATGTGTTAAGGTGATGACCTGATAACTGTGTGTCTGTGTGTGTCTGTCTGTGTGTGTCTGTGTGTGTCTGTCTGTCTGTGTGTGTCTGTGTCTGTGTGTGTCTGTGTTCCTACCTGATTTCCCATGTGCTGGCCTGGTTGTATCTGAGCAGCAGCCTGCTGATGCCGAACTGATGGAGACTTTGAGGACTCCGTTTCTCCGCTGAGGTCTGGATCAGACTGGGTGCCAGCTGTCTCACCTGCGCTCTGTGTTCATCTGGAGTCCACATCACCTACAAAAAAGGCACAATATACAGGGCTACAGTTAAACTCGTCTCAATCTGTATGTCACCAGCATTAATGCAGTGACAGGGTCTGAATAGACATGAATAGACATAAGGAACACTCGTCCATTTACTGGAATTGCAAGATTAACCTTATATAGTCATTATTAGATTAATTCACATTTTAACCCATTCCATTTGCATAAGAGTGAGACGTCATGCTAAACCAAACATGATGTGGATTGGGTCTACCGAAGTATAATTTTTTTTTTTTTTTATGTACTAACCAGGCTCTGAGGAACCCCAGATTTCTGCACAGCCCGCAGCGTATCATTGATCCAGCTGTGGTAGCAGGGGTGGTCCGGAGGTGGTCTCCTCAGCCTGAAAACCACTGTGCTGTTATGATAGGAAGCCAGCTTTAGAAGCTGCTCCAGGCTGCACACACTCTGGTTGGCAATCAGATTCTTGTCATGGGGGGACAGGGTGTGCACTGTCCAGAAGGGGTCGTCCTAAAACGCAGCGACAGAAAAACATGAGGAAGACTATCACAGATGGGTTTAAGAGGGGTAAGATCACTGCATTTACAGTTTAATATACACACACACACACACACACACACACACACCCCTCTAACAGTTGCTTTGTATAAAAAGCACTCATCCACGTGTTATGTAGAGCGACTGGACAACACCTACGGGGAAATAAAAATAGTGAGGTTTTTCCTTAGTTGCTTCACGTCTTTTTCCTCGCTTCACTGCTTGCTCACTCCTTGTTAAAGCACACAGGAGAAGAACATCAGATGCTTCTTATGGTCTTCCATGATGGGCTTTAGTTCACTGTACTGACTAGAAATAGCCAAAGACTTTAGCTTTGTAATTTTAATTAACCAGTCTGGGGCAGGACATGTTTGGGCATATAGAAACCAGCGTATGACAGTCAGTTGTCACTACTACACAAAGAAGTAGTAAGGCTTTTGTTGGAATGCCATCTCCAGCCACAATGTGCACACATGCAAGGGCGGGGGGGGGATTCAAACAGATCCTGACATATTGGGGGCAGAGCAGTCTTCGCAGTCACTGTCTTTGCGCAGCAATCCGATCTCATAAAATAAAGGCTTTAGAATATATTTAACACGTTTTAAAAACGCAAAATGACTTTAAACTCCCTTTAGAAACAAAGCTACACAGTTAGAGTACACATTTAGAAATGTACAAATAAGAAGAAACTCTTGCTGTAGCAGTTTTTTGAACAACATCTAGCACCAACAGATTCTCGTCCTTAGAAACACATTATTAAGATTAATGCATTTATACAAGCTGCAGGCAATGGCAAAAAAAAAAGAAAAAAAATGAATACAAACAATGGAGTAAGTAATTTCTCTTTCTTTTCGATGGTGCCTTATCATATGCAGGAAACAATTACTGGGGAGCAGAACAGGCAGTATTTCTACAAAATTCTCATTGCTTGTTTGTCAGCGTGTTTCATCCTGTTTGGCCTGCTACTGTCGTACTTCAAGCGGGTTGAGACAATTATTTTGAAGCACTAGTTGACCCCGATCAACTCCGCATACGGGAGAGCATCACAAACCGCTAATGGATCTCAAGTTTCATGAAGGATCAATGAGTGAGGACACAAGCTGTGGAGTACTCGTGACTCAACGGGCTAATGACCCTTTATCACTTTCCATACATCACTGTGACGCGTCACACGGTCAAATAGAGCCGAAATTTCTTCAAAAGCCCTCATCAGCATCCAAGAACTACCTTGAGGAACCACTGTCCTGCGTTGAGCTGCTGCAGATCTGTCCAGTTGAAGTGTGAGGCATCATCCAACCGTCTGTCTGGGAACACCTTCTCGACGTCCGTGGTTCTCAGCAGGTTGCGGTCATGCATCAGGAAAGGCACTCCATCCACACTAATGATCAAGTTGGTGCAGAGTTATGAGATGCAAATCAGGTAGTTTAGAATATTATATTCTCTCTGTATAATGAGAGATATATATAATTTAAAAAAAATTTTTAAGAAAAAATAATTATAATCTCTCTCATTATACACAGAGAGAATCCTTGATTCTTACTAGATAGAGGGCAGAGGCGTAGATTTGAAAGGGGAAGCAGGGGACACAATATTTATAACACATGCTCACATGAACACTTAAAAAGGCTACTTACACCAAACAAAAGACACAGAAGAGGACGGAAATGTAAATCATGCCCACATGTGTGTTGACTCAGCAGCGATAACATTAAATGAGAAAGTGGCGATACAGGAGAACAAATATTTGAAGGCAAAACGCCTGAGAGCCTTACTGAATTATAATCCATTATCTTTTTGTACCGTCACCTGGGACCTGAAATTTGTCTTCCTTTACATAAAGACATTTCCACCATAATTTGATGCAGAAAAAAATTCATTCAAGTCTTTTCTTCTAATGACTCAACTACATTTTTTATACTAACTCAAAGTGAGCTGCCATATAAAATCAAAAGGACCATTAAAAGGTAAGTTTATCTGTAGCTTGTGCTTATTAGATGAATAAGGGCTCTGAAAATGACATTGGATAAGAGCAGAAAAGACATGAGTTGGTTAGAGCGTAAACTCTTGAAACCATGTCAAGAGAAAGGGAGAGCAGGGGAGACAAAGACAAGAGTTTGGCCCAGTTGTGAAGGTTTTTTTTGTTGAAAATGCTGCTGCTCAATATTTGAATACCAAATGACTTCCCCTTTCTGAATTCACATCAGCATGTTATCCAGTAGAATCAAAGACAAAACCCAGGACAAAAGAAAAAAAGCCCTCCCCATTTCTCAATATTTGCTATTCAAATTCTTGGCTGAAAAAGAATGCCTTTCCTGTGTGGAAATGAGAGTGTGAACTGTTAACTCCCAAAATATATTTCTCTGGAGTTAAAAAAAAAACAAAACTGTATGCAAAGTTCATCAGTAAAAAGACTGTATGATGATGATCTGATGTTGGTATATTAGTCAGCAGGTGGGTGTGTGTGTGGGTGTGTGTGTGTGTGTTCTGCTGCAGGAGTCTCACTGTCGCTCTGGTTGTCATCAAGTCTAATTACTCAGCACAGTCAGGAGCTCACCTGTCAGCGGCCTGCACCAAAACATACAACCATTCCCCTCTCTTACAGGGAACAATGAGCACACAAACATGCCAACGTGGTTGCTAAATACAGGAAAAGAGTCTGCAGCTAATTGAGACGCAAGAGTAACCGGAAATAACCTTAAAACATACTACAAAATAAAGCCCAAACCCACCTCCACACACCCAGCAGCAGCAAGGCAACACTCCCCACCTCTACACAATCACTCATCCTCCATATATGCACATGCATGAGTAGACACGTACACCCACTGACTATCACATACCATGGCCACTATAGTATCCACTCTCCCCACTTCCTCTTTCTTCTTCCAAGTGTGTCTCAGCCTGTCACCTCTCATTAGGCTGGTTGTATCATGCCTTCATCTACTGCCTGCTGACAAGCAGACCTGCTGTTGCATCCTGTGACTGTTGTAGTTAGTAAGTATGTGTTTTCATGTTGACAGAATATTACCGCTTTGCCCTTTTCCCTTTCAAGACAAATTACTTGTTAAGACTACATAAACATTCCTTTTTTTTTTGGACAGACCTCATGATTTCTCTATAACATAATGTACGACACACTATGTATTGACTGGTAATACGTCGACTAGTGTGAGCTTGTTCTACTGTGGTACTGATATTAATATGTTTTGGGTAAACCAATGTTTCCATAATTTATGAAAGGAAAGCAAACAGCGAGGCACGATGTAGACAGACTAAATAACCTTTTATTTGTTTGGCCTCGTCATCCTGCTATATTGATCGTGTGTGTACCTGATAGCCACGTCAGCCTCCAACCCAGTGACGTTCATCTGCAGAGCTCGTTGGAAGGACCACAGTGTGTTCTCTGGAGCGAGCTGAAAGAAAACACACACACACACACACACACACACACACACACACGTGACTTTACTGGAGTCACTACTACTGTTGAGGAAAAAAAACAATGCCACATGAAAAGAAATTATTGCTTATTATCGAGTGGGTGTTACTAAGTCAAAAATAAACAATGTGAAAATACACTCTTTCCTCTGAATACAAAGGAATGTTATGAAATGACAATGGGCAGCGTTGCTCTTTAACTCTTAAAGTTAAGGATCAATACCAAGCCAATAGGTTAAACAACACTTACTAGAAACGCTAATGACTGGGAACCACAGGATAGGAATGATGCTGTAATCAATACAAAGTCCTTCTGGGAATCTATGTCCGGTCATGTGCCTCTGAGTTTTCTCACAGCCTCGCAGAGCCACTCCTAATTTTAGATTCCACAGCGAGGATCGATTGCTTTTCACAGATACCACAGAATCGAGGGTGTGTTTTTTTGAGCGTGTGAGCAACTTATGAACAACAAGGACTCCATCTTCCAAGTGCTGCATAATACTGAGCCAAATATCAGTCCAAGCACATAAATCCTTCTTTGGGTAATGTTTAGAAGCAATAACATTAGTATAAGCACATGAATCAAATATAAAAAGCAAAAATGTGCTTTGGTGTGCATGAATCATATCTTAATGTGAGTTTTGGATGCATACTTAACAGGCTCTAACAGGCCTTTTAACACTGTAGTGGAGTCTAAAATCTGATCTGTAGGAGAGATTGTGAGCTGAACATAAGCAATCTCTAATTGATTCGCTTCCATTTCAAGCTCATCAAGTCGAACAGAACATCATAAAACCCAGCAGAAAATTTATCCCTGTCATACATCAGGCAGCGAGAGCCCCAGGTTCTCACTGGGTTATGTTTGTGGACTATTTTCAGTTGTGTGACCACAAGGTCATTAACAGACTAGAATAGCCTTGGGAAGTGCAGGAGAAGAAAAATGAGTGTAAAACAAGAGCAACAAATATCTATACAGCCTGCACAGTTATTTCTCCTGCTTCTCTAAATCACAATCAAGTGGCACTCTGAATTAAAGGCTCATCTCCTGTGTGGCTCAGTGTCATCCACAATGGATGTTCATGTTTGCTTTTATTTATGTAAAGCATGCTGAATTTCCCCATGTATGAAATGCGCTATATAAATAAACTTGCTATTGCAGAAGGCCAGGGGTTTGAGGCTGTCTCTGACTAAATATCAGGCAGCTAAAAATTAATGGCAAAACGGCTGCAACGCTTATTTTCATTGTCGATTAATCTGTCGATTATTTTCTCGATTAGTTTTTTGGTTTATAAATGTTAAAAAAGTGGTGAAAAGTCAATCAGCGTATCCCATAGCCCAAGAGGACGTCCTCAAATGTCCCGTTTTATCCACAATTCAAAGATATTCAGTTTACTATCATAGAGGAGTAAAGAAACCAGGACCAGAAATCAGCTGACTTACCATGGGAGCTCCCTGGTGGCCAATGACATCAGGGCGTTGCTTGAGAGCAGTGGGGTTCATGATGCAGGGGGAGTTGATGTTCAGGGGTACCACATAGAGCCCCAGTAACACACTGAGATACAGCAGCACAACCACCACCTGGAGCCCTGGGAGAAGACAGATGATAATATAGTTGCGGCTGCTATGCACGAATTGAGTTGAAGGAATGGTTCCAAATTTTGGGGAAGACGCTTACTTGCTGTCTTGACAAGAGTTAGATCAGAAGATTGATACAACTCTCATGTCGATGTTAAAAATTAAGCTACATTGAGCAGCTGGTTAGCTTAGCATACAGACTGGAAACGAGGGACACTGTTAGCCTACCAAAATCTACTTACCAGCACCTCTTATGCTCACCAATTAAAACATTATATTTTGTTTGTTTGATCTGTACAAAAATATATATATAAAAAAAAATTACAGTCAACAACAATAATAATAATAATAATAATAATAATAATAATAATAATAATAATAATAATAATAAGCATTAAAATTTGTACAGCTTACAATCTGTGTTTAATAATTGGCAAATAACTGCCAGTTGTGATTTTTGCACTAATGATATTGTTAGCAGCTTCACTTGTGGGACCATTGACTAATGCAGTTCATTTGCAAAGCTTGTTTCTGTCTTTTAGTAAACATCCTAAGCATGGACACAAATACATAAATTAAAGGAGCAGCACTGATATTCAAGAGAAAATGCTGATTTTAAATATTCTATGGTTTGATTTGTACCAAGAGAACATTTTGGGGCGATCTTTAGTTTTCAATGAGATGTGTGACGTCAGTAGTTGCTGTGAATGTGGGTAATGTTCAGTACCGTTAATAGCTACACACAGTGGCCAACACTGACATTAGTGGCCCAGGAGACACTTTCCCCTGCATCCTCCTCAATGTGAGAGAGCAATGAAGGCTGTGTCACACACACACACACACACACACACACACGTATTGGTTTCAAGGTCAGCTCCAGGGTGGCGTTGAGTAGACAACTCTTGTTACACACAGGAGGCTCACAGACTTCAGACACACACACACACACACACCCCCCACCCACCCACCCACCCCCTCTTTGGTATTCAGACTCCACTGTGCATTACAGCAGGGACGCTAAAGTGGGAGTAATCTGGCCAAGACCTTTCCAGCTCATCATGCCTCTCCAAAAGCAGAACATAAAATGTAACTGAACATGCTATTTATTAGTTTTAAATATCTCCCATAGTATAAAGAGAAATTACTTTTGTCTAACGTGAGGACAGTAATAAAAAAAGTTATCTAACTCACTGGAAGTAAAATTCTCTTAGCTAAATGTATCTTCATATTAATTAAGTGTGTTCTTTAGAAATTGTATCAGTTACAGGAGAGGCCGACTGCATTTACAATAATTACTGTCAGGCTATAATTTCTTCATTAGACAATAAAACTGGTACATAAATGACACTAACCAATTCTATTCTATTCACACCTGTTCTGTTGTGCAGACACCAGTGGCAGTGAGGGTTAGGATATACACCAAGACCTGCTAATCCCCAGAAAGAGTCATGTACTCGAGGAGAAAACAATCCAAGGTGTCCTTGCTGGAAAACATCACATGAGCCCGTAGGAATGTTAGCTATCTCAGAGACCCTGGGTGGAGGTCCTGGCCTCTGTCTACATAGTGTTAATCATTCACCACTCTTCCTGTGCACGTAGCAGATGGTTACATCAGGTAACAGTAACTTCTGTTCTGTGTTACAGAAGCAAACATACTTGTTTTTTCTGAGCGGGCGACCTGTCCAGCCACAATCCAAGACAGCGCTGTGACTGCAGCAAGAGCCCCGATGTGCAGGAACGGACCTGTGGCCTGGGCATAGGTAGTGAGAGAAAAGTAGATGAAGGCAGGACACGGAGAAAGGAAGAGGATATAAAGAAAAGGAAAAAAAAAACAACAAAAAAAACACAACAGAGGTATGGGAGAGAGATTCAGGGTTTAAGAGATGACAGTGAGCAAAGTAGAGAAACAAAGAAAGACAGAGGCATGAAATTACAGACATTATCTGGGGTTAAGACATTTGTAACACTATTCACAGATAATAGCTATAATTTGTAGAGGCTTTCAAAGTGAATGGCATCAGTTTAAGTGGAACTGTGATTCCACTTCAATAATCTCAGGGACACAGTAATTCTAAGCTTCTCACACATCTTTGGATATCGTTTAGCTGTTTATTGTTAGTAGGATGAATGCAGATTAAGTCTCGGGATATGCAGTTTATGTTATTATGCTTTTTTCATACAGCAATGTTAAACATGGAAATAAAATATAAATGACATGCTTGTAAAATGATCCACATACAGTGTGCTTACGAGGATGTTTTGGTAAGAGAACATAAGAGATACGTAAACAAAGACGATGCAGCTGTTGCAGGCGAGCTTGACTGATAAAATGCATTTTTGCATTTTTTCAAATTTGAAAGTCTGAATGATACCAGGTTCAAACAGGTTTTTAAAAAACATTCCCAGGAAAGAGATAAAAGAATATCCAGGGAAAAGTGGTTACAGCTCAGTTATTTTAAACCCACAAACAAATGGTCAAAGTCCATGTTGCTGCTTCCACCCTGTGTATCGCAACACTCAAATTTATTATCGGCAGTGATGTTAAAAACTATGAACAATGGCCTTTGGGCTTTCCTGTGTTTCAGTCTGCTGACCTGCAGGGAGATGGGGATGACGTCCCACTCTTGACTCCATGTTTGATTGACAGATATCACCCCAACAATGGTTGTGAGCAGAGCAGCAGTCACTCCTATCTGTGTAGACAGAGAGGGAGTAAAACAGAAAATAAGAGGGGCTGTCGCTTTGGATACATACACACAGCACAGAATAACCCCACATAGCTCCCAGCCATTTCACACCCCAAACAGTGTTAACTCCTTGTATTTGGTTTGCTGATAGCATTTTATTTAAGGTAATTTACTGGCCTTTCACAAGCCCCGTGGGACGACTCGATGCAAACTGTATGTTCAGGACAAGTTCAGCTGATCGGCAATGAATGAGCACACACGCACCAAGCACACAAGTATATAAACTGCCCCGCCAACACACACCGCAACACAGAAAGATACGCATGTAAAACCCACCATCTTTTCACCACCCACACACATATTAGCACAGTTGCTCAGTCTCACATTTAGCACATTACCTTATGGAGCCAGTGCAAATTCAACTGTTGCCCAAGTGCAATGTGGCAAAGTGCTAAAACCTGAAAAGAGAGAGAAAAAAACAAAACAAAAACATGACCCACACATAAGAGCACAGCATTCAAACACAAGTCTGCCACCTCACAGATTTCAACTTGCTCAACATTTCCATGTAACCAATTAGTCTGTCTAGTCTCTGCCAAGGCATTATGATGAACAAAACAAATTTAACTCCTCCAGAGTGAATACTTGATGTAGGACAGACCATTAAAAATGCAATGTAGGTGAAGCCAGCAGCGGTGGTGGCCAGGATAGGAACAGTGCCATCACTCCACTCCCCAGACCGGTTGTAGAGGAACCTGCAGGATCAAGAGAGTGAACAACATCTGAACATACCGTGTTCTCCTGCATGTTATCATTACTAATCTGTGTGAAGGATTGTGAAAAATTTAGTCTGTGTGTATGAGTTTGTGTTCGTTTTTAAAACGCATCGTTTCCTTCAAATCAAACCATGTCTTCTAAGTCGACTTACAGTTATGTAAATAAGTTTTTTAGTCATATTGACAGCAACAGCCGGCAAAGGCTGTTCTTTGCAGGCTTTCTTTCACAAACCGATAGCAGGGTAATGTGATTTTACGGATATATAGCTGTATTAGTTTACAAACAAAACATGTCACTCGTGTGTGACTTGTAATCTACTGTAGACTGTTGGTGTTTCAAAAGGACTTTGACTTGCAGGTAGACACCCATCAAGTCACCCTGAAGCTCAATGCTTTATTGTTGCTATAAAGTTAACAGACACAAATATAGGTGATTGTTATATTAACGGATGGGTAGCAAATTATTGGCAGCTGGTTTCTGTGTGGGAAGATTTAGTGTGGGAAACAGCAGCAAAGGCAACACAGATAACCAGCTGCACATATCACCATTTTTCTTTTATGCAAACAGATGCATCCAGACATAGTTCAGACACACAAAAGAGTGAAGAGTTGACACTGGGTACAGATTCATGGCTGCAAAGCAAAGACAAGTACATGAGTGTGCGCATGCACGTTTTGACATGACAACTAGGGCCTATAGCACTAATTACTTTCAAAGCCTTATCAGTGATTCCAGTGGCACAGTGCCACAGCGGGGTCACTTACTGCTGATGCTCCTAGCCCTTTGTGAATATATTCATACTGCAGATGGACTGGGACACTCCCTGCTGCTAAATCACTAGAAAACATAAGGGCATGGATGTCATCTCTGTGATTATCTGTACAATCCCTACAAAAAGCAGGAAGGAAAGCACAAAATGTGTATCCTTCCTATTAAAAAGTAACGGCAAATGTCTGCCCAGTAAAACTGACCTCCGGAGATGAATAAACGCTAGTGAGATTACTGATGAATGTGGACCTGGGTGGCTGTTTGGGGAACTGAAAGAGGGAGGTGAGAAATATACACAGAGTGAAAACGTGTTGAGAAAAGGGCTATTTGAAAAAAATAAAAAGACAAGGTAAAAGAGCAACAAATCTAAAGGATGAATGAGAGAAGGGCCTGGGTACAGGAAAAAAAAAAAAAAAAAAAAAAAAAAACTACATTTGGAAAGGAATGTGAGAAGAGGTAATTGAAGGCAACAGACGATAAGTGGGAAAGGTGACATTGTAGAGCAGGAGGGGAGGGGAAAGGAAGATGGAGAGGGGATGTGACATTATGGGAAAACAGCAGTAAACATTTTGTACTACAGCTTGTACAAGAACATGTCGAACACACACACACACACACACATATATATATATATAAAAAATATATATAAAAATATATATACACCAAAAAAAAAAAACCCACACACCAACCCCAAGAAGAACAATTTGGGGAAGGAATGCATCCACAGCTTACAGGATGTTGAAACATTGTCCATCAATACATATTCTTAATGTTCTGAGCGGTGTTTGATCAATTATTTCTGTAATTTGACCTTGTGTTGTGCAAGTCAAGTATCTACTTTCAATTTCATCAACACTTTTTGTAAAAAATCATGGGATTACATGTGCTTTAATAAAGATTGAGTCAGTTTTTGCAAAAGGTCATATTATGCTTTTCCCTCTCCTTTATTGTGTCATATCTTTTTTGTGCTTGTAATAGGCTTGTAAAAGTGAAAAAGCCCAAAGTCCATCGCAAAGGGAGTTTTAAGAGTTAAAACACTGCTCCTAAACTGCCTGAAAACAGCTCGATTGTAGTCCAGCCTTTACTTCCGTAAACTATCTGCGTCACTTTGTAACAGCCGTCATAATGCTCGCATAACGGCTAGTCAGGCATGTCCTTAAAAACACCGGTGGAGAAACATACTGAGCTGCAGAACAGTGACAAGATGTCCATCTACTGCCTCCCCTCATCCCCAACTCTCCTTACCAAAAATTAGATACCCTCCAGGCAGTCAATGGACATGAAGTTGTTACTGTGATGTAGAGACAGTGCACAGTTAAAACATTACTTACTTAAAGATAAATTTGTTACAAGTTAATAACTCACCACTCTGAAACTCTTGCTCCAGTCTAGGTTGCAAAGCTGGTTCAGGAACATGTACAGCTAAACTGAAGCCCTGGTTACCAGAATGTCAGGACTCGCCCTGCTCTGCTTCCAATTGGCTAGTAGTCCTTAACTAGGTACTGTGCATGCGTAACTCCAAACAAAGACTAAACTGAAGTGGGATGCTTCACTAGGTAGCTAAAATGGAGCGGTCAAACACAAAGGGTGAAGAGAGGTGCTGCACTACAAAAATATTTTGTTTTTTGAAAATTCAACAATGTAAACCTTTTCTGGTAAAACCCCTAAATAAAACTATGAAACTGAAAATGAGCATTATATGACTACTTTAGCACATGTAATTGAAAACAGATACATTCTGTTATGGGTTTGAAATTCTGTGTGTGATCACAAAGTTGTGGTCACATGAAAGTGGCAGTGGGCTCAGCCATTTACAGAACAGGAAATGTTGAGTGAGTGTTACGTAACGGTGTAATCTGTGAAGGGCTGGGTGGTCTCTGCTCAGATTAAGGCAGAGGACAGATTAAACTGATGATTTAGGAAATCAATAAGCCAACAAGCATGGATAGAATTTATTTACAGCCGAAACAATATGGTGACAGGCGTCTGGCTCCAGTTTGATCTGACCACCCACCCCCACCCCCACGGCTTGATTGTGTACTCACCAGTTGAACTCATTGTAGTCATTATGCGCCTCCCACCAGAAGTAGAACCATACCAGCAGCAGACAGAAGGTAAAGAGGAGGATGAGGGACCACAGCAGCTCCCACTGCGCACACAAACATCCACCCATTAATAAATACAATTCATTATTTCTGTGGATCCACTATGTTTACTTAGAACGGAAAAAAGAAACATTACTTAAGTCCATTTGACAATACTAAAACCTCATTCACTGCTCCACTGTGTGACAAAATGCAGAGCAGCGTTCATTAGAAGTAAACTTTCCACAAACTATAAGTTGAGCTCATTGTGTGAACCTGGCTGATGACCTTTGCAAAAAGTATTCCCTTATACACTTTGGTCATTACCAAAGAATGACTTAATAACTTCACATGCAAGCTGCCTAATTACTGTTCTCTGCCATGCACTTTTGTACCATGGCAAATTTTAAAATTTGCTACATCTTCAGATCCAAAAACACACCCCTAGGCCATACTCAGGAGGATATGTACATTTGCTCATCTCCATCTTCCTCAACGTGCATGTACACGCAAGCATTTGTTCCTCTATCCCTGTGCCTAACCTACTACATGCCTAACCTTAACCCTTACCCTACCATCACCATAACCTGAACCCTAAAACCAAGTTTTAACCCTCAAAGCAGTCTCAACCCGTGGGGATCTCGGGGAAAATTAAGGTCCCTACGTTGATACAAGTCCCCCTCGCTTAGTGTACATTCAGGTTCAAGTCCGCACTGGGGGACGGACGGACGGACGCGCACACACACACACACTTTTGAGAGTCTTGAGTCTTTTTTTTCCAGGCCAACTGTAATTGTTGTCATTATAGATGTCAAGTGTCTAGCATGTAAGACTCTGCTATTTCTGCACATATTTGCAACTGGTTCTAGCTCCTCAAGTGTGAGGATTTGCTGCTCATTTCTGTTCCATATAACTATAAATTGAGTATCTTTGGGATTTGGAATGATGGTTGGACAAAACAGGCAATTTGAAGATGTCACTTTGAGCACCCAGAACAAAGTGATGCATGTGTGCACTGTCGTGTGAAGATAAAGACACTCAGTTACACAACCTAAGGATATCAGCTTCAATGCACCATTGTTGTATGTGCAGAGGACCAGATCATTATCGCTTCAACCAGCACACAGGTAAGACAGTCTGCTTGACCTGTTTATATCTAGTCCCAGCATGTTGGTCTTTTTTTTTTGGGGGGGGGGGGGGGCACAAAAGCTAAAAGCTTTTAAATGCTAAATATGGAAGTTTTGTTCCCGCTGCCAGAGATTATAAAACTGTGCAGCAAATGAAGGTCATGTTTTGACCTCAAGCTTGTTTTAGGAGCTTTCCCACATGTCAGCTATCAGACTTTGGGTCAGACTAAATGTGGAAATAACGATGGAATACGGATGTATCATTTAAATTCTGGGCATCGGTCTATGGCAAAACAGATCAGTTATACAAAAAAGGGAAACAAGCTCACGGTAATGCCGAACCAATCCCCTTCTCATATTTGGACATTGCTTCTGAAGTGTACTTCAGAAAAGAAAGAGAACATTATGTAAGAAGGTCCTCTTAGATCAGAGTTATATGGGCAAAAAATCAATTTGGCTGTCTTCATAAAAACACTACCTACAATTATTTTCCAAAGAGCAAGAGCAAAGAGCCTACTGTTTGACTCTCCAGGCATCTACATCATTTAACTTCCACTGCAAAAAACAATCAAACTAAAGACCGTTTAACCGCACAAGCATTTAACTACATTCAGATATGCCTTATAACAAAGAGCAAGTCAGTTCCACAAATGAACCGGTTACCATGGTCTCCGTGGGAGGCAGCTCTGCTCATTGATGAGAGAGCACCGACTCTGGTTCCCATGGACTTGGGAGATCCGAGTGTGCTCCCAAGAGGAGACATTGTTAATCCCCCGACCCTTTCGTTCCTCTGCCTACCACCCCTGTGGATTATGATGGATGTGACCTGAGACGCCCCTGAAAGAGCAATAAGTGTGATGTGGTCAATAAGTTACAAACACTGAGGTAACTAATGAAATGGGTCACCTAATGCACTGTATCCCAGTCTCATTTCTGAGACCTGATGATAAAGATGGGATTTTATTATCCATTACTAACTCACACTGCCATAATGACTTAAGGCAGAAAGACTGTAGGCCTGGGGGGGGGGGGGTCCGTCAACCAACATATAGTACAGTATAATAGCTCTTTGTTCTTTAGGACTGGACATTTTTGTGCCGCTAAGCACAAAAATGTAGAAATTGTTACTTTACAGCTGTACTAGTGTTCTAAAACTAAGACAAAAAGTTCTGATTTACTGAAGATTGAAGCACCTTGTGAGATTTGGTGTTCTCTTCCTGTTTGTCAGCCAAGTCAGCAGCAGAGCTCGTCCAGCCTGACATGACTTGGCCTGCCCTGGTGACATCACATTATCATTCTGCATGGCTGGCATTTTATTCAGGCACAACACCCCATGCATGGACGGTCAGTGCGGTGAAGTGTTTGATCAGCAGTGTATGCCAACGGTCTCCTGCGCTTTGTTGGTGTTATGCTGTTGGCCCCTTGGAGAAATCAGAGGACGGGGGGGGGGGGGGGGGGGGGGGGGGGGCGCACTATTAAATTACCTTTAATTCAAATCCAATTATGTGGGGAGCTGTATTTAAAGAAAAAAAAAAAAAATGTCATTCAAACATAGCTACCGAGTATTTAGCCCAGACTGCTGCAATGGTTAAAATTAAATAGTTTTTTAAATAGTGAACAAACTCCACTAAAAAGAGAAGAACACTTATTTGAAAACCTAAAGAGTAGTAAATTCTTTAAAATCCTCCACTGGCACTTTGTTCACTAAACTAATCTATTTCCACTTGCAAACACTTTTTAGGAATATAAAATGGATTTACAGCCCTTTTTAGGCACTCAAGAACACATAGTGTTTAGCCTTTTTAATTATGGGATTGCACCGTGGTTTTGCTCTGGCAAAATTACAGAAAGGGACTGCAAAAAATAAAAAATAAATAAAACCCACATGCTAAAAATAGTATGAAACTGATAATCATTGCTGACTCACCATCAAGGAACAGATGAAACAACAGTGATTTAACATCTGGGAAAAGCATGTGTGCGTGCATGTGGCTTTTGGCCTTAGCAGAAAAAGAAAGAATTTTGTATGTTGTATGTACATGTATGCTTGAATGACTGAGGACAGCTGAGTGAGCCTGTTATTTATCCAGCTTTAGGGTCAATCATACCATCCCCCAGAGACACATTGTCCCTGAAGTCTGGATAACAAGGAGAACAGAGATATTTGGTCTGTTACAGTTACAGATTCAGTGCCACATGACACATTTGTCTCCCCGAGTCCAGGGTTACAACCTGTGGTTGCTTTCCTTGTACTGCTGCAACAACCGACCTGACCTGCTGGGGGATCAAAGATTTAGCTCATCTTAAAATATCCTCGATAGTCGATGAGAGAATTTACTGTAATTCCACTTTTATTGTAGTTCTAGTAGATTAATGTGAAGAGATATTTAACAAATGTACTTCTAAATACTTAGCACTGTAGACTTTCTGGCACTTCCTATGTAGTCCTTTGGGAAAATTTGGTGCGCAATCAGATTTAAACCAGGAAAATGAGGCATGCACAGAACATGGTCAAATGAAAAAGGAGACCATAATGGTTGATTTTATAATAGTCAGGGATTTTTCTGATATTCAGTTCACCTACTTTTCCCTATGAGGGGCGGAGCGCAACTGCTAATGATCATGTGATTGGTGTGTTCTCTAACTCCAAGACTGCGCCAATCTCTCAAACAGGATCTAGGCTACAACATAGTTTCATATCCATAGGCTGGTTATTACTCATGCTCAACAGCTGCTTTGCAGCACAGTGCAAACACACACGGAGAAATACAAGCTTGCTTACTTCCTCAGATACACGCATGAAAACAAATACATTATGCAGTATGACTAAAAGGATGAATATGGAACTAGGATGCAACGTTTTGAGAAGTGATAAAAAGAAAAATCCATCCAACCAACACACACCACGGGTGTGTGTTGGTTACTTCATGTGTGAAGACAAGGTGTCCTTGTATCATGTACAGTATGTCACCATGTACGGCGACAAACTGACATTTTCCACATCAATAGCAATACAACTTTCTAAGCACTTTTTGTGCACAGCTGATAATGTGCTTCTGACTGTGGCGCAACTCTGGGAATTAAAGTACATATTGACTTATGACAAGCTTAGCCGTCAGCGGGAAGACAAATAGCAACTACTGTATGGGCAATATGCTAAGAGATGCTGAAGCATAATACCTAAGCTCAGGGAGCACGTAAATCAGACCAATTTACTAGTTTGTGATCGATCTCATTTTTCAGCTAATAATGCCAAGTAAAATGATTCTTCATAAAAAGTATGTTTTGACAGCCAACAATAGTTGGCGAGAGATATGGTTTTTCATTTGGGCTGTACAATTAATCTAATCGCAGTTGTAATCGCGATGTCATCCTGTGCCAATACATAAATGCAGAAGTGTGTGATTTTAAAAAAGTGAGCTGTGTGAGACACTCGTTTCTGTGTGCACTACAGTCTGCTCATTATCCGCACCCACACCAGGTTCTCGCATATGCCTCTAAAAACGGATACGTATGAACCAAAAAAAGATTTACAAGCAGTGTGCCAGTAATGTTAAAGACAACAACCTACCGTTACCCTCTTCGCCTCCTTGCAGCTAATCATACAAAAAATAGTCAGACTGGCCACCGGCGCAACGGGAGAAATGCCGGTGGGCTGGTCGCTCTGTGACAGACAGATGAGTCATACGCAGCTGACGCGGCAAGAAAGAAGAAAACAGGGAGAAGATAAGAAGGTTTCGGTTTAGCTAGCTGACCATTTAACCTGTTGGAAACCTCCAGCTATTTGCCCCCATTTCCTGGAAAAACGCCTAAAATAACATACCCAATATGAATCAGGAATAACTCCTCTACCATTTGGCCTAGATGCATAATTCTGGTCTCCTTTGAAAAGGTCAGAAGCTAACGAATATAATCCATTGTAAATTAACATCTATTTT